CAATATGGCGTCGATCGCCGATGATTTGTATGGAGTTACGTGCTCCAAGGCCGTGTTTTGGTTAAATGCTGCGTTTATTTAGGGTCTTATCCCCCCGGCCCGGCGGGTGAGTGCGTTAGGAAGCCAGCGACACCAAAAAACCGGGGCCGGCCCGTCGCATGAGGCCCGGCACGGCAAAGGTTGGTTTTGGCCTATGGTGCTTTCCACGACTCTGTCACCGGCATTATCATGCAAAAAGGTGTACCAGAGTCGTCCTCTTTATGAGTATCACACGTGACCCACCCCCACCCCCCAAAAAAGCGATGAACTTTATGGTATTTACGGAATTTAAACTACCCAGGAAAGAAATTACAGGCTCTACATTTGGTACCTATGTTACCCTGGTCGATATTTATGCAATTTTCTTCCCAAAATAAAATCAATTTTCGCGGGTAAAGCCGAGACGCTCATAAAAATTATAAGACCCCGAACAAAGCCCCTGATTTCGACCCGTCTTGCGACAGTGAAAACAGCACTTAACGTTCAGTTGAACTACATCAACATATGCTACAACTTCAGAATAACCTCCTGTGCTAGAGAATGCGCGGATAAACGTGAGAGAGATCCCTTACCCGACTGTTTCCCTCGCTGCCTGCCATCAGAAGCGCAAGTGTCGCCATGATGCTTCTTCCTGCCTGGGGCCCGGTGTTTTCCCGTCAGGCTATGCGGACACGAAGGGTCAAAGGTCGTCCGAGCTGTCGTCTGCTGTTTTGTTTACAAACGAGGGCATATAATGAATACGGTTCGATACATGTGCTTAGGTCGGCGAGGAAAAGAGTTTCTGTACCATTCAAAGACCATGACTTATGATTACGTTGTATCAGGTAATTTTAACGTTTGATCAGTTGTAAAATTAACCCAAGGAGCTTGTACGGAAATAACTCGAGTAAGAACAATGAGGTAATATCTCCATACCATGTATGTACCATAACCTCTTAGGTATTTAAAGGCAAAACGTAACGTTAACGTACTAAAAATTGAACATCCGATGTGATGTTGAGACGAGGTGTTTGTTTCAATTTCCTGCCCCACCCGGCCGGAAAAGCACAGACACAGACAGTGAAGAATTCTTGAAAAAAAGTCCGAAGTACGAGATTATATCACTAAGAACTTATCAAAACAGAAAATCATATGATCACGTGTATGGGTTCATCATATCATTCTTTCCCTTGTCACACCGCGAACAAATACAGTCCGTATAATGACGATTGATGACTTGAAAATTGTCGCGAGCATTCAAATGCCTCCAGGCAGCAATTCAGCACCCCTGTTAACAAAGGTGTTTTGAGAAACATTTGCTGATTTTGAATAAACTAGCGTATATAAATTACCGTATATGATAGAGAATAATTGTTAACGGGAAAAGAGCTACTGTGCCATGGAGAATGCACAGTGACGTGGCCAGGAGGTCGGTATCAGCTTATCCCCGATCTACCATTGATTAAATATTCAGGAGTTTTTGCGCACCTGTGTACCTTTTCGTGGTCGGCTGAATGATTCGAAGATGACGTGTGAGATATAAACGTCATGAATAAGGCATGAGGAGGGCAGGACGGTATAACCCCGTTCGCGCGTCTGAAAATCGATGCTCCCGTTATTTGATCGGTCCATTTGCGGACCGAAGCGCGGACATGTGCTTTGTTATCATGATCCCGGGCACAAGATTTACAACCAACATTCAAGCTCGGATCATCAAAGAACCCTGCAAGCTGCATCAAACTAACGATAATTAGTTCAAGGAAAATCAGATCCATGGATTTCATTCTAAAAGTTTGCATAATGACAGTACGCTATGATCTTTACCGACGTCAAGGATCCACTTTATTTTCATATTTACAAATTTGAGATATTTTCGATCTTTTATGGCTTGTATTGGTATGTTGGTATGTTTCGCGATTGATTGCATACTCCTTTTGATATTTATAGTTATAGAAAGCGTGATTCAATGTTGGGCCTTTGGGGTAATGGTGCTACATACAGAAAGCAGTCATTACGTAGAGACGCCTGCCCCTGGACAAACCCATCCAGTGACTACTCATGTCCCCCGGATGATTTGAATGCCTATTCTACGCAAAATTCCGGCGGCATATCTCTCAGTCGGATATGATAGTCAGCCTGATCGTACGGTGCCTTAACTCTGCACTACGCCGCGAACTGACACAAGAATCATTCATTTTATTTCGGTGTTTTGGACTGTTCGTGCACCCTTGTACTGTAATTCTGATTCAAGACAAATTAGCTTCGTCGCATTCCAGTTTTAAAACAGATAGAGCGCGCAAGTGGTGATGGATTTGATAACTGCGCGTACCAGTGGCAGTGAGTGATCCAAAGTGATTTACGTCAGTGCCGTCTGCATTGGGTGTCCCTCTCATTCAATCGCCAAATGAAATTTCGGCCATACCCGGCGTCGCATTAGCGATTGCGTTCGTTTATTAGTCGCGCCGATCGACCTTGTTATTGATTAAAGGTAGGTGAAAGTACGGCGGGCCACATCCTCGCGATGAATATTTATTTCACAAGGGTTTCCCGCATCCTGTGACATCACGAGTCAGCAACGTACCGAAAACACCCCTCCACGACGCCACGCTAATTATTCCGTTGTTGTAGCCACCCTGAGCCTGGCTGGTACAATTATTACTACTATCCTATGCTCCTTTGGGGAGACTGACATACTTTCTGTACATGTCCCATGAGAACAACGGTGTTATTACAGCGAGGGTCCATTTATTTTTAGTACGATCCTGACAATACCGCTCAGCCGTTTGTAAATTCGCGGTTCGGTTGCGAACGACAACAAGAGACTGTGTGACTTCAGGCTGCCCGTCAAAGAACTAGTTAAGGACCCAGTTTGATACATACGGTAAGTACATTCCTCCATTCTTTGGATTCAGTGATGCTGGGCGCACATAAATAACGTGTGCATTGAATTTTCGGGCGGTCGCCCCGGCTACAGAAATGGGGGTAGGGCCGTTTTGTGTTTCACAACATCCATCCGGTCTCATGATATGTCAGAGGGTCGCGATGCTGCCAACTAAAGTCGGGGCGTGCCCTGGTGAAAGTGCACGCAGCCAGGAGGAAAATTAACAATTTGCACACTCTCACTTTCACTGCGGTGCAGAGATGAAATGATAGCACACAAATTGGGCTAATTACTACATGAAATCCGTTGCATCTAACATGAAGATTGAAATGAAATCTATCGTAATAGCTAAGACATTGCATGTCGTATTGTTGGAAAGGAAACCAGAACGCAAAGGCCCTGAGAATGCAAATCATTAGTAGATGATTTTGCGGAAAGCGCCCAGATCAGAGATTAACTATTGGAAAATTATGTACATGTTTCTTTCATCAATGAAATTTTTCTTTTTGCTGAAATTTGTGCAGATATGATTTTGCATGATCTTCTAATAGCAACAATATTGGAATATTGAAGCTGAAGATTGATACGTTGCTTTGAATGAATACTAGTACCCGGAAGTTCAAGATAAGGTCCCAGAATCCAACGCGCCTTATTTAAAAGAGCCGCCATTTTGAATCAGACGACAGGGGAGAGATAATGAGGTCGAGTCTCTATGACCTCTCCGGCGTCCCTGACGAAATTTGTGTCAGTTTGGCGCTGAATTTCGATGTAGATCTCTTAAACTAAATCCCCAGCTTCATTTGGTGTCCTAGACGATCAGAAATTTGCAGTTTTGTCTATTCAGTGTCAAAACTCGCTGGCGTCATCGAGCTTATTAGGCCTGCATCTAATTTGGTGTGCGCCTATATTTTCGACATGGCTGTTGGTTCTGTTTTGAAACTCCACGGCCTCCAGAAACGCCGACTGTCCGGGACAAGGCGCGGTCATGACCTGGGACGACAGCCTCGCGCTTCTGCCATGTCCTGAACGTTTGTCTCCGGGCAAACCGTCTGTCTTGTCCACGTTTCGTCACAACAAGCCGTGATCACTTTAGATCAATCTGTGAAGTTTGTTTTGCCCGCACCCCCCTCCCACCTTCATTCAAATATTCACAATGAGTAAGAAAAAGGGATCTACCCTTCCGTGGTATCTTGCCTTTGCCTCGCCAGGCAGAAATAACGGTGACTCTTCTGACTCTGACAGGAGCTCTGATTCAGATGAGTACGAAGATGCTTCTGCTGAAACACCAGGTGACGCCAAGGATCTTTCCCCGGGCTACACGAACAGGCTGTCTGTGCTGCTGGGAGGTGCTGTGAGAGTTGAGTACAAGGACAAGGAAGACAGCATGGGAAACGCTGACAGCAGAGGGAAAGGCGAGAAGGGCAAGCACAAGAAACATGCAGAGCAGCAGAAAGAGGGAGCTGAGAAGGCTGACTTCTCAACTGTCGAATATGAGGACTCTAGGCTTGCCAATATTGCAGGTGAAGAGGGTTCAAGGCCTGCTAAGAGGACTTCAAGTTTTGGGAAGAAGTCCAAAGCAGCCAAAGTTAAAGAAGCTGCAAAGAGGAGGAGCGATGCCAGCACTGCAAGTGATACTAGTGGTTCAGAAAAGTCTGGCGGCAGTGGTGGTGGCAAGTTTTGGTCCAGAGGTAAGAAAAGCGAATCCTCCCCATCACAGCAAAGATCCAAGGAAGGTGATGCTGTGAAAAAGGAACAAACTAAGATGTCTCCAATACATGATGCAAAGGAGCCACAAGATGAGACAGATAGAGCAAACTTGGAGAGGAAATCTTCCGTTCAAGGTACAACAGTTCCATGGTACCTAGGGGGCGGCTCTTCAGCCACTGCCCAGCCTAAGCCAATGAAGGCAGCAAAGAAAGAAGCAAGGAAGGCAGAGTCTGAAGACGACTTGTCTGACTATGAAGATGCTGGAGATGCCAATGTTACATCTGGAACAGTGGGAGGGCTTGTCCGATCTCCATCAGCTGGTTTATCACTGCTTATGAAGACCTCAGCTGGGTTGACAGAGCAAGTAGAGGCCCAAATACAGAAAGAAAAAGCTGCAGAAGTTACAAAGCCAACTAGACCAGACTCTCTGGAAGGGAAGACTAGCAAAGGAGGGGGTACTTTAGAGAGTGCTACTGGCAAGAAGCATAAGACTGTCCCAACCCCAGCGTACACCGTCACGAGCACAAGGCGTTTTTCGTCTCCCCGAGTTTCGCCAGCATCAAGTCCTGTGGCCAAGCAGCGCAAGTTTCCAGTCTCTACATCGTCCCCTCAGCTCTCACGCAAGTTGGAGAGCAGTGCTTCAGTAGACGGGGAAAGATCAAGGAAAGAAGATGCAGCAAAAGGTGATATGGGCAAGGTTGCTCGGAGTAAATCCATGGATCCTGCGAGAAAAGAACAAAGTAACGCAACATTTTCTGAGAAAAAGAGGACATTAGCGCTTGACGGTGAATCATTTGAGAAGAAAGATGAGGACGGTGATTACGTCACCCCTCCAGAAAAGTTCAACGGTCAAGATAACTACTCAGCAGAGTTTGTCATCAAGAGGGAGGACTCTGCCGACACAAAAATCAACCAGGTCGCACAGAAACTGGACACTTTGGAACAAGAGATGCAGAAAAGTTCTGAGAAACTCACAAGCCAGATACAGATTGATAGTGCAGAACAGAGAGGCACCAAGACTGGAGACGTACCATCTTCAGACAGCGATGCTGGTGATTCCATGACTGGGAAGAAGAAGATGAAACCAGAGCCACTCACGCTGACCAGATCAGCATCCCCGTCTCCTCAGCTGAAGAAGGGCGTGGCACTGGGACCGCAGCCTTGGGTGTCCAGCATGGAGAGACTGAACCAGATCTTGTCCATGTCTGAGAAACAAGTGCCTGATGTGAGAAAGAAGGAAAAGTTCTTAGGTAGGTGATACACCTTCATACCTACCTTATAAGTCCACCTTATAAGTCCACCTGGATTGAATGTAAAAAAAAACACAAGTCTATATCTACATCTATGTGATTTCAGTGTAGCTAAATATGCACTTTTACATGTACACATTGCCTCAAATTTTTAAGGATTCAAGTCAGGTATTAACTAGACAGATCCACCCATTATCACATCATGGCCTAAGGGAAGAACACATTGCATCATTTGTCAATAACAATAGCAACTAGGTTAAGTTACTTTATCCATATACACATGTAAGTGCTCAACAGACTACTCAAAGATTTGAGATTTTCAGTTGTGTTTGATGTGTTGATACTGATGATTGAAAATATCAGGCTGTTTCTGTTTCAGTGTTTGTAGAAATTTTATTTGGCAGTAATGTCAGATCATTTGCAGCTACAGTAAATGTATTAGTTCTATTTGAGTTGATACGCCAGTTATTTGTCATGCATGCTGATTCTGTGGGATACAAAAGGTTCAGCTTAATAAGTTGAACCAAAGAGGAAAATATGGGGCTGCCACGAGATATTTCTAAGAACCAATCTTCAAAATTGTGGAGGTTTAGTGATGAAAGGAAAGATCTGACTCTAAAGAAATGCCTGATACATTTGCAAGTTAGCAAAGAAATGTAAAGGGCTAGGGATTAATCTCTGACAGCGATAAAGCAGAGAAAGTCATCATGGTGGAAAAGACATGTACAACACACATTGTCAACATCTGTTTTGCTACTACTCTGACTCTTCACATGGTTCATGACTATGTCAACAGACAGATCATGGCGTCAATGTGTGTGGCCTCAGCTGGTACAACTAAAAGAGAGGTCATTTTTCTTTCTGGATACAACAGCAAAGTCAATTACTGGTAGAATGGACAGTAACCAAACATATTTGTAACCATTTGTGTTAGTCAATTTACAGCCCTTTTGAGATAGAAGACTGTCAGAAAAAAACAGGAAACTTAACAGTTGACCACCCAACGTCTGCTTGGTGATTAGATAACAATATTACCATCTTTAACTTTAAGGTATCCTCCATTTCTTTTACTAGTTTTAGCCAATCAGCTGATCTGTTCCAAATGCTCCTGTGTCAGAGCCTGGCCTGGACACCAGCAGGAATTAGGTAGAGGTTGACATGGGGAATTCAGGGAGCTGAGCATTGCATATTTTCCAGTATTCTGAAATCTCTGATTTCTTGTAAGTACATGTATAGAATCAAGAACAAACCTTTGTTGTATAGGGAAGATGCTGGTGGAGTGGCTGATGCCTGCTGACCATGAGGAGTTTGGTCCTGATGCCATGGAGCTGGACCTAGCCCTGCAGTTCTGCAACAGGCTGCTGGCTGTGGGCATCCTCCAACCCCTGGAGCAGACCTCTGCTCAGACGGAGTTCAACGTAAGTTAAACCAGGGCTCCAAATACTGGTATGGGCCTATATGTACATACCGGTACCTTTTTGCACTCAAAATTGAAGCTGTGCACCTAAAACTTGCATCTGAATTTGTTTACTCCCTGACTCTGAGTGTACACCAAGATACAAAGTTTTCTCCTCAGACTTGGACTCTAATATAGCATTATTCTTTAAAATGTGTGAACCAAGGAATTGAATTGGTGTGACCTTACCTGTGGTATGCAGAATGAGTGACAGCACCCTGGATTCACACCCTCAGCCTTCTGGTCAGAGGCAGGGTCAACTGAATCACTCCTAACTCCTACCCACAGGTCCCTACAGTAGCAACTACAGTAGCAACCCTTCCAGTCAACTGTTTCTCCCAGTGAGACTGTTTGCTCCTGCAACAGCTGTGGAGTATCATGCTCACCTTTCACACTTTCCTCCAGGCACGTAGGTGGATTTGCTGTGGATGCAGCCTTTCCAAGCCCTTAGGGATGACTCTTTGATCCTCTTGCATTGCTGTCTCTAAATGTCTCTAAGCTATTGGCTAAGTCCACATAAGTCACTCCCGTCCAATGTCAAGCTTACAGACAATGTTGATGACTTTTTGAATACACATGTGGACCAAATGTGTTCCCAGAAGTCGGTGTGCCAGAATGTTTAAGCTCTGTTTAGATGGCAACCAGGTCAGCTAGCACAGACCCAGGGTATTTGGTTTTCACTGGTCCTAACTTGATCCACCTCACACTTTGGTGTTATCTGGCAAGCTTTCTCACAGATGCCAGCCGCTACTTGGAAAAAGAGGGGGCAGGATACCCGTCTTAGCTTGTAATTGCTTCAAGACAGGTCGGGGGTTGTGTTTAGCTTGTTTTAAGGAGTGTTCAGGATGTGAAAAATTATGGGTGGGTATCATGGGGGCACAATTTGTCTGCCTGTTAGAATTGGCAGGAGGATTTTTGGGAGCAAATACCAGGCTAGAAGTGCTACTGTTGTCTTTCAGAGAGAGAAGATTTAGTCTCACTTTATCAGGTATTGATTTAGGCCGACATGGTTGAAAACTGTGTATATAAACCTTTTCCTTGCGGTTTTCCTAGGATTCGTTCTTTGCAGTACCAGGAAGCGCTCCTGTTGTTTATGACAGGTAGATCCTATTTGTGTGGAGGGTTTACATGACAGAGGAGTCTAGTTTTTCCATTTTGTAGTTTGTAGTAGCATGAGTGTACATCCATCCACGTGGCTATATTGCATTTTTTCCATCCATCCGCCCCTTACCCTCACCCCGGGCCGCCTACATTTTGTGGTTATAGATTGATCATTTTCCCATCTCTACCTCCCCTCGCCCCCCACAGCCTGAGACAACCTACTGCTGGTACCACCATGCTGCACTCCAGGGGACCAACGGCCTGAACTCACCAAGTGCAGCGCCAGGACGCATCACCCCTGTCTGGCCGCCACCCAAGCCGGAGAGCAAGGATGGTCTCAAGTACACAGAAGCAGGTAAATATGATGGAAGACAGAGTTCATCGGATACACCTAAGAATAAAAAATCTGTTCACAGAAGTAGTGAACATTCCTCCATATTATTTTACCTTTGCTTCTGTCAAATATTTCATCGAATAAGAAATTTCAAACTTTAAAGGTTATTAGGTTTTCCAACTCTGAAGAAACCAAAAGAACTTACAGGAATGGATGCCCTGTAGTATCAATACACTGTAAATTCATTTAGTTTCGTGGGACTTAATCTCACATTAGGAGGGCGAAGAGGTTGTCATGTTTTTGAAAATACTGTAATAATACAATGGAAACTGCAAAAACAAAACCACCGTGAACTTTTCAAGATTTACAGTACCTCCTTCCTGGTACAGATGCAGGTAAAATCATGCAGCCACCCTGATTTTGCCACACGTATCATGTTTCCCTTATGGATTTCTGCTAACAGGTGGTTTGTTTCCCTCAGCAAGGAAGCTGTGACCTGTAACTAACACTCGAAACAGGTGTTTTCATACCACACTTCAAACCAACATCTATATCATTCTGTCATACTGTTTGTTATTATCATACATGCTTCAGAAATTTGATTGGCAGTATTCAATTTTATGTCTATGGTTTGCAAAAGCCCAGCTGCTCCACAGAATGAAGTTTTACTTTTAAAGGGTAACACATTTTTCAGACGAGGTTGGACTAGGTTGGAATGAAAACAAGGGGTTGATTATAAACACCTGTTCAGAGGGGCAATGCTTTGGGGATTCTGAAGTGCCACTGCGGCTTTGCCTTCAGGAAAGGTGTTAGTTTTTATATGTGGATAAAGGTTAGAAGGAGTTCTTAATTGTGTTTCAGAGCATCAATATGCAGTCATGACATTGAAGAGGGAGAACAAAGACTACATAGAACAGCTACATGTAAGTCATCAACCTCTCTTAAGCAGATGTTTGATTGGCTTAACAGATTGGCAGAAATAGTAAACTTGTGTTGCCTGTATTTTGAACATTTTGAAATAGAGAATAGGCATATTTGTATACAACAGTACCTTGGAACAGATGATTTACTGTCTTTCTGCAATGTGTCATGACACATTTTTGGTCAAGGTATGTAATCCTCTTCCAAAGGGACAATTTTCTGTGTATTTGGCAGACTTGTTTACGCATTAATGGTTTGACTGTATTAAAAAGCAATAATATTCTTTTGTTGATATTGAGGTTTCTATAAAAAACAGGCTGTTTTGATGGGTAGCCAGGATTGGTCTATTGTGTAAGCAGACCATCCAGTCCAGGAGCAGGTTGCTAACTGCTGGATCATGCACACTGAAATTTCTCTCTTGTCCTTCAGCAAAAGCATGAGCTGGCTGTGTTCCAGCTGAGAGGAGAGAATGCAGTGAAAGTGACCAAGCTAGAGGCTGAAGTGGCCAACCTGATTGATCAGATACAGGACCTGAAGAAGCTCTGCCGTCAGAAGGACAGAAGGTGGGCAGGTCTTTCACTCAGGTTCCATAATGGTAATATCAGTTGATTTCTTTCTTTCTTTGATATGTAGTGTTTGTAGCAGTGCCGTTTTACATCTCCAATCAATAGTCATAATATGTGAAAGCCAAAAATAGCCAATGGGGCATTAAATTTTAGCCAAATGGGCATGAATGTACAATAAAGGCACATGACAATCCTTGGCAATATGAGTTTTACATAGTTAAGAATGTGGCTTGATCACAAAATGATACTGCATGACGAATTCGTAGATATAAATTTGTTGCATAACAATTGTACAAGGTACAGTGTATAGCATCTACTGCTGCATAACAACAAACACACTATGAGACTAATCTAACTTACAAAAGACCATATAGTATGGGATGAGAATGTGCTTTTACAATCATTACTGGTATTTCTAGTATTAAGGCTTTTTTAAAAATATTGTCCTGTATGTTGAATGCACAACTACAGGTGGATGTTGGAGTTGAGGCGTCCTTCGACCAGACCCGTCCTGCAGGTGTCAGCCACGGCCACCAAGTCCCAGGCCACCTGCACCTCCGAGGACGGGATCATCAAGGATCTGTCATCAGGCGGGGCCGCTGTGCCCACAGCAGTCATCATGGAGGGGACCCCTGCCCCCCTCCCCACTCCCCCGGGGGCTGTAGCCAGGACACCTCCACCTGCACCACAACCACCCCCTCCCCCAGGCCAGCTGTCAGGGCTGCCGTTTCAGACCCCTGTGTCTGCCC